CACGCACATGATCCCGAGGCATGGATGCGACTATGTCATTAATCTTCTGCTTCACTAGATCAGTCCAACCATCCAAGGGTATAGATATTATTCTCGACCTCACACCACTAATCTGCAAATGTTTTTGTTCCGTGGTGAGTTACACAGAGCCACAAATTCCTCACCATCGAAAATGCCACTACTACTAGGTGTCCCATCGACAACAATATCACCATCATCATTCACATCGATATCTTCGAAATTAGTGACTTGTCGATAGACATCAATACCGACGTCGTCTTCGCCGGCTAAGATTAGACCCTCATCGCCCTCGTCTCCGTCATCATCACACCATTGTTGGAATACCGAATCAGAAAGCTTAGAGTCCTGTTTGCGGAGGTACTCGCTACCGAAAACCACAGGACTGTCCCCGAGAACCACGTGGATCTGGGAAGAGTCGGAACAGGCCCAGCTAACTTCACGAGCGGAGAACGGTATGGGACCCATACCCATACTATGGGTATCGTTCTGACTGAGGTCAACTCGTGCAATAGGGAGCGATTGCTCTAGCACACTCTCCAGAGCAGTTTGGCATCTGCATAGTCGGCAGAAATGCGCGACAGACAGAAGAAATCTCGTAATAGGCTACTATGTCTCGCTTCCGATTTCGAACTGCCACGCCTACAGATCAAGTTGCCGTTGCTATCTCGGACACAAACGTCCGGCTTACCATCGCTCAGGCAGTTCCGATCCACATGGCCCAGGAGACCCGCCAAGGACGGCCAGAATGAGCTTGTAAGGAGAGTTCGCGACTTCAGAATTTCTTTCCCACTGCGCTGTTTCTCCACCTGCTTGTCGATCTCATAGTACGTATGAGCAACTTGGGTGATTCTCTCCCTCAAGACGGGAGGAGCGGGTATACATCTTTTAACTGACCGTCGCAGCTCCTTCGATGGGGGATTTTTGTGACCACGCTGTGCTCGAGAAGCACGCAGTGATTCCAGGTCCCCGGTTGATACCATGTACATAACCTTTGATAAGTCCCTCGCGAACCGGCAGAACATAGGACAGCGAGGATCACAAGACCTCACCAGCCGCATACAGGCGTGGAAGCCGTCCAACTGAGTAGTTATTAGATGCTTGGAGATGCCGCATCCTT